TTTCTATCTACTCTGCTATCAGGTGGATGAGCTCATACATGGTGCCCTCTCAATGCCTCATTAGGACAGTCGGGGACTAGTAGTCATGGCACAATCCTGGGGCACTGTGAAGCCAGAGAGAGTGAGTGGTTGCAGAATCTCCCTGCTCCCTGGCTGGGGCAGGTGAGTGTGAATGGTTCTGGCATTCTCCCACTCCCTAGCTAAAGTTAGTGAGCTGGGCAGTTGTGACACTCCCATGTTCCCTGGCTGAGGCTGGCAAGTGTGAGTGGTCCTGGCATTCTCCCACTTCTAGCCTTAAGCCACTGGGGGTGCAGACAGAGCACTCTCCCATTGTATTCCTAAAGCCCGTGGGCATGCATACAGACATTTTAATGCTCCATTTTGAAGTTAATGAGCATGGCCTACCCCCTATACTCTCCAGTTAGCAGATGTATGCAGTCTATAAAGGGGGATGCCACTTAATCACCTGATGCTAGTGGCCGATGGGACTGGCATTCTGTACTGCATAGGAATGTAACATTTGGAAAGCCAGTTTTTGGCAGGCCACCATTTTCAGGGCACTGCACAGACAACAGACTGAAACATAAACCCAGTCTTCCTGTGAAAAGGGCCTTTTAGTCTGAAGCTTCAACCTTAGGGACATGATTCAGATTTCATGCACATCTGTAGATTAAGGAGGCCCTCCCTTGGAATGTAAATAGGGAAACACCATCCTTGCATTCCCTCTTGGTCTCATTATATCTTGACAAGACCTTCCAGAAAAGAGCTTGTAAACTCACCTGAAGTCCTGCTTTTTGGAACTGTCACCTAGGAACACCTCCAGATCTCCTGGCCTTACAGGCTACCGTGGATTATGATTGTGGCCCCACAGGACAATATGTTTTTGCATACTTATTTTTTTTTTATTCTTTATTTTTTTATTTCTAGGAGAGAGAGAGAGACAGCGTGAGCAGGGGAGGGTCAGAGAGAGAGGGAGACACAGACTCTGAAACAGGCTCCAGGCTCTGAGCTGGCAGTCAGCAAGAGCCCGACGCGGGGCTCGAACCCACGAATCGCGAGATCATGACCTAAGCGAAAGTCGGACGCTTAACTGACTAAGCCACCCAGGCATCCCTTGCATACTTTAAAAGCTGCTGTGTGAGGGTCTGACTTCCAGTCAGTCTGAAACTAAGTGCTAAATGAGATTCCTTCCTTTGGACCACTGACAGCTCTATTCACACTCTCAAAAATGGGGACATATCAAGAATAAATCAGGTAATTTAGATAGTCAAGGATTTGAGAGACAAGGAAAAACTACAGCAAATTTAAATGGGAAATTTCATCACGTACACAAAGCCACGCCTTTGAGACTGAGAGAGATAGCTGTTTCACCTAATGCATATAAAGAGAGAGTCAAGGAAAATGAGGAAACAGAGAAATGTGTTCCAAACAAAAGAATAAGGGAAAATATCAGAAAAAGATCTTAATGATATGGAGACAAGTAATTTACCTGATAAAGAATTCAAAGTAATGATCATAAAGATGCTTACTGAGCTCTGTAGAAGAATGGGTGAACACAGTGAGAACATCAATAAGGAGGTAGAAAATATAAGATAGTACTAAATAAAAGTCACAGAGCTGGAGAATACAGTCACTGAACTGAAAAATACACCAGAAGGCTTCAATAGCAGACTGGTAAAGCAGAATAAGTCAGTGAACTGGAATATAAGATAATAGAACTCACCTAGACAAAGCAGCAAAAAGAAAAAAAAAAAAGAAACATAATTTAATGGACCTGTGGGGACAACATCAAGTGGAATAACATTTGCTTTATAGAGATCCCAGAAGTAGGAGAGAGAAAGGAGCAGAAAACTTATTTTGAGATAATGGTTGAAAACTTCCCTAATCTAGGCAAGAAAAGAGACATCCAGATTCAAGAAGCCCAGAGACTTCCAAATGAAATGAATCCAAGGAGATCTATGCTAAGATACATTATAATTAAAACATCAAAAGTTAAAGACAGAATCTTAAGAGCAGTAAGAGAAAAACAAGTTATTACATACAAGGGGACCACCATAGGAGTATCAACAGATTTCTCAACAGAAATTTTGTAAGCCAGAAGGGAGTGGCATGACATATTCAAAGTCCTGAAGGGAAAAAACTTTCAACCAAGAATATTCCATTTGGAAAGATTATTATTCAGAACTGAAGGAGAGATAAAGAGTTTTCCAGAGGAGCACAAAAGTCAAAGGAGTTCATCACTACTGAATCCTTCTTATAAGAAATGTTGAAGGGACTTCTTTAAGGTGAAAAAAAAAACTGGCACTAATTAACAGTAAGAAAACATAAGAAAGTAAAAATCTCACTGAAATTGTAAATATACTGAAAGGTAGTGAATCAAATACTTTTACAAAACTAGTATGAAAGTCAAAAGATGAAAATGGTAAAATTAACTAAAGCCACAATAATTAGTTAAGGGATACATAAAATACAAACATATAAAATGTGACATCAAAACATAAAATGTGCAGGGGTAGTAAAAATCTAGTTTTGGAATGTGTCAAATTTCAGTTGACATTAACTTAAAATAGACTATTATTTACATAATAATATGATATATGTGAACCCGTTGATAACCAGAAAGCAAGAACTTACAGTAAATGCAAAAGAACTAAAGAAAATGCAAAACATTTCTTAGGAATCATCATACCCTAAGGAATCATCCAGCCACAAAAGAGAGAAAAAGAGACTAAATTCTCCAATTAAAAGACAGAATAATTAAAAAATAAAACAAAGAAAAACACCTCTTTATATGCTGCGTATAAGAGACTTACTTCAGAAGTAAATATACATAAAGACTGAAAGTGAAGGGAATGGAAAGATATTACCTGCAAATGGAAACAAAAAGAAACCCTTATCAGACAAATTAGACGTAAAACATGCTATAATAAAAGACAAAGGGGGCATTGCATAATGATAAAGGGATCCATCCAGCAAGAGGATATATTTATAAAATATATGCACCCAACATAATAGGACCAAAATATATAAAGCAAATATTAATAGAATTAGTGGGAAAAATTGAGAGCGATATAATAATTGCACTTACATCAGTGTAAGTAGGATGTTAAAACCACACAGAAAATCAATGAGGAAATTCAGACTTAAAGGGCACATTACACCAGATAGACTTAAAAGATATACACAAAACATCCCATTAAAAAGCAGCAGAATTGGGGAGCCTGGGTGGTTCAGTTAGTTAAGCATCTGACTTTGGCTCAGGTCATGATCTCGTGGTCTGTGATTTCAGACCCTGTGTCGGGCCCTGTACTGACAGCTCAGAGCCTGGAGCCTGTTTCAGATTCTGTCTCCCTCTCTCTGCCCCTCCACCACTCACACCTCTCTCTCTCTCTCAAAAGTAAGTAAACATTAAAAAAAAAAAAAAGCAGAATGCATGTTCTTCTCAAGTGCTCATGAATATTTCCAGGACTGATCACATGTTAGGCCATAAACAAGTCTCTGTAAAGTAAAGAAGATGGAAGTCATCAAGCATCTTTTCTGACCACAGTGGTATGAAACTAGAAATAAATTACAAGAAGAAAACTGGAAAAATTACAAATATGTGGAGATTAGACAATTTGTCACTGAACAACTTCTGAGTCATAAAATAAAGGAAAAAAACCCTACGGACAAATGGAAACAGAAATCTGACATAACAAAATATATGGGATGCAACAAAAGCAATTCCAAGAGGGAGGTTCATAGCAACAGGCCTACTTGAAGAAACAAGAGAAATTTCAAATAAACATTTTAACTTTATACCTTAATGAATTAACTAGAAAAAGAGGCACAAGGTCAAAGTTTAGTAGGAGAAAGGAAATAATAAAGTCAGAACAGAAATAAATGGAATAGAGGCTAGAAAGACAATAGAAAAGATAACTGAAACTAAGATAAGGTTCTTTGAAATGATAAATAATATTGGCAAACCTTTAGCTACACTCACCAAGGAAAACAAAAGGGGACTCAAATAAAATCAGAAATGAAAGTGAAGTTACAACTGATACCACAGAAATACAAAGGATCTTTTTTTTAATTTTTTTTAAACGTTTTTATTTATTTCTAGGAGAGAGAGAGACAGCGTGAGCAGGGGAGGGTCAGAGAGAGAGGGAGATACAGACTCTGAAATAGGCTCCAGGCTCTGAGCTGGCAGTCAGCACAGAGCCCGACGTGGGGCTTGAACCCACAAACCGTGAGATCATGACCTGAGCGAAAGTCAGACACTTAACCAACTAAGCCACCCAGGCGCCCCCAAAGGATCTTAAAACCAATTATATGCTAACGAATTTGACCCCTAGAGAAAATGGATATATTTTTGGAAATGTAACCATCTTCTGAGAATGAATCATAAGAAAATAGAAAATCTGAATAGACCAATCACTAATAAGATTTTGAATAGTAATAAAAATCTCCCAACAAGCAAAAATCCAGGACCAGACTGCATTAGTGGTGAATTCTACCAAACATTCAGAGGTTTGACACCTATCCTTCTCAAACTCTTCCAAGAAAAACAAGTGTAAGGAAAACTTCCAAACTCATTTTACCAGACCATTACCCTGATAGCAAAACCAGACAAGGATAACAAAAAAAGAAAATTACAGGCCAATATTCCTGATGAACATAGATGCAAAAATTGTCAATAAAATATTAGCAAACCAAATTCAGCAATACATTAAAATTATCATACCTGTGATCAAGTAGGATTTTTTCAGGGATGCAAGGGTGGTCAACATCCACAAATCAATCAAAGTGATATACTATGTTAACAAAATGAAAGATAAAAAATTATACAACCATCTCAAAAGATGCAGAAAAAAGTTTGATAAAACTTAGAGTCCATTTATGATAAATACTGTTAACGCATTGAGAATAACACATTTCTCAACATGATAAAGGCCATATATGACAAACCCACAGCTAATACCACACTCAACCGTGAAAATCTGAAAGCTCTACCTTTAGGGTCAGGAACAAGACAAGGATGCCCAGTCTCTCCACTTTGATTCAACATGATAGCGAAAACCCTAGCCAGAGAAATTAGCCAAGTTGGAAAGGAATTAGTCAAACTGTCACTATTTGTAGATGATATAGTACCATATCTGGAAAACCCCAAAGCCTCCACCAAAAAACTGTTAGAAGTAATAAATGAATTCAGTAAAGTTGCAGGAATGAAAATCAATATGCAAAAATCTGTTGTGTAAACTAATCACAAACTATCAAAATGAGAAAGCAAGAAACAATCCCTTTTATACTCAGATCAGAAAGAATAAATTGCCTTGTAGTAAGTTCAGTCAAGGAGGTGCATGAGCTGTATGCTGAAAAGTATGTAAGACATTAATGAAAGAAACTGAAGAAACGTCAAATAAATAGAAAGGTATTCTGTGCTCACATACTGGAAGAACTGATATTAAATTAATATTAAAGTGACCATACTACCCAAAGCAATGTATACATATAATGTATTCCCTATAAAAATGCAGTGGCATTTTTTTTGCAACTTAAACAAATAATTCTAAAATCTATATAGAAGTACAGAAAATTCTGAATAGCCAAAAACAAAGAGAAAAACAGCCAGAGGTATCACACTTCCTGATTTCAAACCATTCTACAAAGCTGTATAATCAAAACAGTATGGTGTTGGCTTAAAAACAGACACATAGGTCAATGGAACAGAATAGAAAGCACAGAAATAAAATCCACTACATATGGTCAATTAATTTATGATAAAATGGACAAGAATATACAGTGGGGACAGCACAGTGTTTTTAATAAATGAGGCTGGGAAAATTGGACAGCTACATACAAAAGAATGAAACTGGATCACTATCTTTTTTTTTTTTTTTTTTTTTTTGAGTAATCTTCAAGCCCTGTGCAGAGCCCAATGCAGGGCTTGAACTCATGGCACTGAGATCAAGACCGGAGCTGAAATCAAGAGTCAGATGCTTAACCAGCTGAGCCACACAGGTGCCTCATTATCTTATACCATGTGCAAAAACCTCAAAATGGATTAAGACTTTAAGACCTGAAACCATACAACTTGAAGAAGAAAACATGGACAGTAAGATTCTTGACATTGGTTTTAGCAATATTTTTTTGGCTCTGACTCCAAAGGCAAGAGAAACTAATGTAAAAATTAACATATTGGCCTGTATCAAACTGAAAAGCTTCTGCACAGTTAAGAAGCAACACAACAAAAAAGACAACTTACTGAGTAGGAGAAGATAGTTACAAATCATATATCTGTTAAGGAGTTAAAATTTAAAAAAATATAAAGAGCTTATAACTCAACAACAAAAACAATCTGATTTAGAAATTGGGAGAGGATCTGAAGAGCCATTTTTCCAAAGAAGATAACTATAAGCACATGGTAAGGTGCTCGACATCACTATTTATCAGGGAAACGGAAATCAAAACCATATGAGATATCATCTTACACCTATCAGAGTGGCTATTATCAAAAAGACAAGAAATATCAAATGTTGGTGAGGATGTGGAGAAAAGGGAACACTTGTGCACCGTTGGTGGGCATGTAAATGGTGCAAATACTAGGGAAAGCAATATAAATGATTTCAAAACATTAAAACTAGAAATGCCGTTTGATCCAGCAATTCCACTCTCAGGTATTTGCCCAAAGAAAACAAAAACACTAATTTGAAAAGATACATGCACCTCTATTTTTATTGCTGTGTAATGTACAATAGCCTAAATATGGATATGGAAACAACCTAAGTGTCCGTTGATGGATGAGTGGATGAAAAAGATGTGGTGTGTGTGTGTGTATATATATATATATATATATACACAGTAGAATATTTCCCCGACATTAAAAAGAAAGTAAAATCTTGCCATTTGAAACAACCTGGATGGACCTTGAGGGTATTCTGTTTAGTATCAATATTTAGATAAAATGTAGAAGATGATAAGGACTACAGAACAGAATGCAAATATTATCAACAGTGATAATGTTACAGTACACATAAAATTGGTGGGAGCTGGGAGTTTGGTATGGGGTTTGGAGAAGCAGCAGGAAATGGTAGGGATTGGAAGATTAGCATATTACAAAGTGGGGTGAAGAGATAGGGTCTATAGTTGAAAAAAAATAGCAGTGATCATGTATTCCATAAAGTTGGAAAGAAGACCAAGAGGAGGAATGAATATATTAAAAGGAAGAGTACAGACAGAAGTGGGGATTGGGGCATGTGAGATAATTTAGATGATGTCTAAAATACTTCAGGTACATTTGTTTAGTTAAAGTATGCTTTGATTTGATGTTTTAAAACCGTGCCTGCTTTTCAGGGTGCCTGGGTAGCTCAGTGGTTAAGGATCTGACCAGCTCAGGTCATGATCTTATAGCTCTTGAGTTGGAGCCCCATTAGGCTCTGTCTGACAGTTCAGAGCCTGGAGCCTGCTTCAGATTCTGGGTCTCCCTCTCTCTGCCCGTCCCCCACTCATGCTCGCTCTCTCTTGCTCTCTCTCTCTCTCTCTCTCTCTCTCCCCTTCAAAAATAATTAAACATTAAACAAAATAAAAATGTGGCTGCTTTTAAGTGGTTATGTACTCTCCAGATTTCTATCAATTCCAGTTTCTTTCTGTTAAATCACAGTGGTTCGTAAGACATTTAATGTTTTTATAAAGTCTTAAAGCATTTAAGACCTCTATTGTACAAGTAATAAACAATTAATTATGATTCCCACTGGGGAGAGGACCTGGTTGGGTTTGAGGGAGGGGGCTGCACTATATAAAGAGATAAAAATAGTGAAATGAACACTAGCACAGTAGCATTCATCCCTTACAGAATGAGAAAGATCACGGGACTAACGGAAGAACTGGATTCTAGTCTGGATAAAAGCCATTCATAAAGTCTGTGACATGTCGTTTAACTTTTCTGAAGTTCAGTTTCCTTACCTTGAAATAAAGCAACTGGTATGAACAAGTGCCTGGTATCACTTTGTGTTCTAGTGTGTATTTTTTTTTTTTTTTATAAAGATAGGTCTGTTATTTTCTTTGAGAATGAAATTAATTTTTCTTGGTATGATAATTTTTTAAAAATTTTTAAATGTTTTATTCTGAGAGAGACAGTGTAAGCAGGGGAGGGTCAGAGAGAGAGGGAGATACAGAATCTGAAACAGGCTCCAGGCTCTGAGCTAGCTGTCAGCACAGGGCCCAACGCGGGGCTCGAACCCAGTAACCATGAGATCATGACCTAAGCCGAAGTAGGACGCTTAACTGACTGAGTCACCCAGGCGCCCCGGTATGATAATTCTTGAGTGACTCAGTCTTCCTACTTACTCTAGCTCTTTATTAAAAGTGTTAATTACCTTTTTAACAGTGGTCCTCATTCTCCTTTATTTTTTTAACATGTGTCTAACTGGATTGACCACTGAAATCAGAATCATACTCTATTATAAAGTTTTATTAATCTATAATAATCACTCCCTAAATAGGGTTGTTTTGATAGCATTGTTTTCAGTATGCAATGCTTTTATTTTCTTATAATTAAAACAGTGCAAAAAATTTTTTTCTTGCTGATGTAAAAATGCAAAGCATCACCAGAAGCTTCTGTAAAAGATCTTATCTTCATTCCACCTCTGTTTTCCTGAATATTTTAATGACACTAAACAGTAATTTTAAACAACTTATTGTAGTGGCTTCCAGATATAGATGGTAAATTTTATAGTCCTCTGTGTTATTATACCAGTTACTGTGATTACCTAATGTGTCTGCAGATTCACAGAAATGATAGATGAAGGATGGGCATTTCACTGTTACATAGATGTGAGAATATCGCCCTCTTAGATTGGCAGCTGCTCTTGAATTTCTCACTGCATCTTATCATTTGGGCTAACACTTTAATTTTGTAGCTAATCAAAAATAGTTGCTTTAAAGATCGTAGCTATTCCTAATGAGTGAAACACAGATGTGTTTCACAAGAAATTGCTAACCTGCTGATTGTTGGAAGAATTCTGTGTGTGGTACGTGTGTGTGTGTGTGTGTGTGTGTGTGTGTGTATGCATGCTTTAGCATCTCCAGACTATGAATGTCAGTTCAACAAACCAAAAGAAAATTTGTAGTAGTGAGAGAGACAGAGTCAGAGAGAAAGTTTCCTAGTTTTCCTTCATAGCTAGGAATATATGTAACACCAAAAGGTACTGTGGAAAATTAAGGGGGCAAAACTTTACTTTTAATTGATATGTTAAAATCTAGTATTTTTATTGTGTGGAAGGATAGGGAATTCTGAAGTGAGAAAAAACAAATTAACTATGAAGCATTCTTTAAAGCCACGAATGTCTGGTTTCTGTTGACATCTTGTGATTACAGTCTCCTTTTACCATTTTCTGAGTGAACTGTTTTTGAACGGTGACTTGAGTGCAGCGAGAACTGCTTCATCCTGTTACATCACTGAGTTTGGTGAATCAAGGGTACGTTAAATTCCCTTTTAAAGGTAATGTTCTTGGCAATTCATTAGAACATTTAAGTATATGAACTAGCCTTTGACCGTGAGGTAGAAAAATATAGACGTTCAAGTTTGGAGGAGGCAATAAGACATGGTTGTGTTAAAGACACAAGTTTGACTGTGGGGCTTGCATAAATACAGTTCAAAAACTGACTCATGCAGTTATTAACAGAGTGGCAAATGACAGTTACATAGCTACTACAGAATTTAGTTACCTGATCTTAAAAATGAGGGTAGTAGTAATAATAGCTAACACTAATAAAACCCAGTTCTCCAATTGGACACGAGGTTCTCTTTTAAGTACTTTTCATAGGATTAGCTCACTTTATTCCCACAATAGTAAGAGCTAGATATTTATTTTCACCAACCTAGTATAATTATTTTAATAGGTTGTCATGAGGGTTGAGGTGACATGCATAGGAGTGCATCAATTATTGTGCTTGACATTTAGCACATGCTCAACAAGTGCTAGTTATTATTAATGTTATCTCCTCTTTCAGGGTCCTCTACTGGCATTTAGCATGGCAGGTGCCTAGTAAATCTGGCCTGCTTAACCAATAGCCAAAATAAAATGATCAAACCCGGGAATAAAATGAGATAAACAAAATATGATAAAATACAATAAAGAATAACTGCAAAATTAGATCCCAAGAAACAAAAAATACATAGAAGTCAAAGATAGGATTGAAGCCAAGCAAAACAGAAACACAGTTAAACTGTATTAGCAAAATATTTAGAAATTTTATTTAAGAGAGAAGAGAAGGTAAATGTGTGAAGGCAAAGATACATCATGATGAATGTCATATCATAATATTGTACAAATTGTATATAGTGCTCAACATTGAATGGCTACTTTGCGGAGAGTGCATCTAGCTTAGCAAAAGGGTGGGAAGCGACATCTATTTTCTTTATTTGGAAAATTCCAGTGTCACTGCTGAGTTTTGTTAGGTGTTCTTAGTTAAGCTGAGCACTCATCCTCCATTGTCCCTTTAGTTTTTTGATCAGCTCTGACTGTGTTATTATTTTTTTTCTTGAGGATAATCCTAAGAGAAATGGAAAGATGAGAACTTTGTGTGTAAATCCGAAAAATAGTCAAAATGTTAAAATGTCTGGCCAGCCGTGTCTTAGTGCCTAATTGAGAAAGATGTGACATATTATTATTTGTGCTTTTGAGAGAGATTTCATGTGATGTCTACTTGTTTTAATGATTTTTTTTTATCAAGGTGTAGTTGGAGGTTTTCTCTCTTTTTCATTTAGAATACATAATTTGAAAGAGCAAATTGTAATTGATTTCTCATTGAGACATATTTGAATACCAATTTTCTTTTCTTATATGAGGAAAATGTGATAGTTTGTCATTTCCTCCACAGTAATTTGAACAAATGATGGTTATACATACATTAATAAACTAGTGGTAGGAATCTAATGATGCATCATGCTGTTTTTGCTTTATTTCGGGATCATTTGCAGTCTGTTGAATTGTTCCAGAACTAATTGTTTAATGTAACCTACAAGTTCCTCAACTGCAAAAACATGTTCAGTAAAATAGAAGAGTTATTTTTAAAAACTGACAAAGGACCTACTTACATTATGTTTTGTGAGAGCTAATAATTATATAAGAAATGGTTTTATAGGTTATTAAACAATATAGGTGTTTTATGTGTTTAAGAGTTCATTTTATATTACAAATTATGATATTATGAAAATGACATTTTCTTACTTTTTTCTCATTGAGACTCAGACAGTTTTCTAGTACAGCCTAGAAATAATGTTGAGTCCTCAGCTTGTATTTGCCTTGTACTCCTTTTTCCTCCCATCCTGAAGCTTTCTGTGCCACCTGGGTAACATTTTTAAATTGATGAAAAAGAAAATTTTATTGTAAGCTTCAACAACCTTGTAAATAATTCCTAAATGAGAGATATTTAAAATCAAGTTATAGCTCCTGCAATGTCTGGGAACCATGTATGAGGTTAACAGTTTTCAATCAAGTATACATTAAGTCATAGACTATTGATTTTCTTGTAGTGTTGGGTCTGTCTGCCAAAATATTAGACCACCAGTCATTACTTTATAGTGTGACAGAACACTGATAATTAACCTTGTAAGCTTGCTTTGTGATCAGTTTTCATTTTATTTCACAAGTGCTTTCGAAGTTAGTTACAAAAAATATTCTCCATCATTATAAATATAAAATGAAGGTATAGGAAGTAGAGGAAAGATTGATTGTATAGTGCAGTTTTAACTAACTCTAAATCAGATACATCCTGTTTACTGTCATAGGACAGGAGTAATGCCCACTGTGTGTGTGTGTGTATGTGTGTGTGTGTGTGTGTGTGTGTGTGTGTGTGTGTGTGTGTTTCCCAAAGGATTTCTACTGAAAGTTGAGTGTTCATTTCTATGGGTTCCCTGGATATTTTGAAGTGTGACCTCCACCATCTTGTGCTTGTGTGTCACTCAAGCTAAATATAAGTTACTGATATTATTTTTTGATAATTCAGTTTTGAGTTTTTCACCAACCTTAAAACATTGTATATACCATATATATATACACACATAGATATGTCATTATATATATACATATATATGTATACATATATGTCATTCTCTCCATAGTAATACACCCTAAAACTCCCACAATTAGTCATTTTTAACTGTTATTTTCTTTCCATCTAGTTTTTAATTCATATTTATTGTATTTATTATATATGAATATTGTATATGTATTTAGCACTTGCCATGAAAAAATTTATTATGTGATTGTAATGAATATTTATTATAATCATCTGTGTTTTATCATTCTCTAAAATCATACACTTTAAAAAATTTTAATGTTTATTTTTGAGAGAGAGAGAAAGAGAGAGAGAGCACGAGGGGGGGGAGGGGCAGAGAGAGAGGGAGACATGGGTTCTGAAGCAAGATCCAGGCTCTGAGCTGTCAGCACATAGCCTGTCGTGGGGCTAGTACTCACAAGCAGTGAGATTATGACCTGAGCCGAAGTTGGATGCTCAACTGACTGAGCCACCCAGGCACCCCTAAAATCATACACTTTTAATTAGCCAAAGGGCTATATCTCACAAGAACTCAATATATACAGTCGTGGGCCAATAAACTGTTGGCTGCATTTTAAACGGAAGTACCCTTGATTGGTTCATGAAATGATTCCTTCTTAAGCAGTGAGTGTACATAATTAATCTAGCCAGTGGGGTTTGGATCCATTTATTTTAAGGCACCATGTAAATGGTGCAAGGTTGAGTGCTTCCAAAATTTCATTAAGAGACACATACTTGCAAATGATTTTCAGCAATGGGTTCATGTTCACTGCATGCAATTACTGAGTGCTTTTGCAATTCCCAGACTCTGGGGGTCCCCTAGGCAAAATCCCTTTTTCTGTGCATCTGCTCTTCTTCTTGCTTCCTGTCAAGTTTCTGCCTTCCTGAAGTCTCATACTATTAAAAAGATCAATTTCTCATTCCTGCTTCTGAGGATTATTTTCTTATTCAGAGATAAGCAACATTTGCAGAATAGAGCTGCATGTTTTTGTGAGGCCATGTGTTCTAACAAGAAAGAGCTTCATACCATAAACTATGATTATCATCTTTCTGTATTAGCATTATAAACTTAGGATTTATGAGGGCATTACTAGGTATTGGTATTTTGTAGAAACTTTACTTTTTCTGCTCTGTGTTTTTTAGCAATTGTCTTCATGCCATGTTATTTGTGGCTGTATTTTATAGGAAAACATTAACTTCATTTGTTCATTTACCACTGTACAGCGGCTTGAAGGACAGTGAGGTTCTTTATATTAAGAATTGCGATCTCATGATATACTTGGCTGATTGCCATCAAGCAAGTCATTCAGAGGACTTAAGAATTCTGATGTCACACACCGTATATTAGTCTAAAGGTAAAAAAATTCACACTGCACCCCAATTTCTAACTTTTTCATGTGTTACTTTCCCAATCTTGGTTTACACTTTATTAGGTATTTTATGAACTCTTACCTTTTTGCTGGTACCCATATGTAGATCTCCCTCTGCAAGGCCACATGTGCATGTCGGAATTGTCCAACACCAACACCAGTGAAAAGGAAGGAAAGGAAGAAAAGTAGCTAGTACCCTAGAATTGATGCTGTGTCAGGGTTGGGCCATTTCTCCTTCCTTCAAGCACCTGCAGTTCTGTGGCATGTTGTGCCTCGGACTGCTTCACTGACCTTGGCTTTTAGCACTGTGAAAGCTGGATAGAGCCGATATTTCCTTTTTTTTTTTTTTTTTTTCTTACAGCAAGTCTCAGGAGTGAGATCTGGTCATTGGTATTTATTCTCTGACCCTTAGCTGTACTTTCCTTTGAAATGACTAATCAAGGAGTTGTCCTCCATATACATTCAATGAAAGTACATGCATTTTTGCTTCTTCCTATAGTTAAATGAAATCTTTCTTCTGTTTTCATAAGTTACAGATGTATATCTATATCTGTCATCAGTCTTTCATAGATTATGAAATCTAAGAAGGCAATCCAACACAGTTCTTTTTGTGCTGCACCTAGCAAAATGTCCTACACAATTGAGTCTTTACTACATGCATTTAATTAGATTGCACATGTAAGGATAGGTCCCCTGGGCCTTCCAAAGCAGTAGATGCTACTTTGGAAAATGACGCAGGCCAAAGAAGATTTAGGTCACTCAGATTTTTATCTGGTTTTCCCAGTAGGATAGTTGAAAATGCCTTCTCACTGTGCTATGTTAATGTCTTCCTTGTGAATTTTTTTCTCTCAAATTCCACTGTCAGCTAGTCAATGATTGTGTACTTTATATACTTCTTGTTAAACTCACTGAGTATTTGAAATGGCAGTGTCTTCATAATTTTCACAAGACTGACCTGAGAGTTTTGCCACCTCTGTCATTTATAAGAATTGGTCTGGATCTCCTTTCTTTTGCAAGGGACAGAAATCACAGGGTTTTGGACTGAGGATATTGGGGGTGATCCTGTCATCCCTCAGTCAAATTTGTACCTAACCTAAATGCAAGACTAGCATGCTTCTCTAAAGAAAGCTCCCCCATATTGTCTAGTCCATTACATACTCCACATTGCCAATGGAATATCTCTCTGGAATTCTGGACATGCCATTCCTGGGTGTAAAGCCTTTGAACGCTCTGCAGGGTAAATGTCAAATTCCTTAGTGTATCATTCAAGATCATTCATAGAAGTCTATCCCGAATGACCTTTGTAGCTTCACAGTACATCTTTTGACTCCTTCTAGTCATTTTTCAGGACTCTCTGGATTACTGCTGTGTTACCTGGATATGTCATCATTGCCCATGGCAGCTTCTTCGCTTACACTGTTTTTCAGCCTTGAATCACCTGTCTCCTCACAGCCAAGGATCAGTTCAAATGATACCTCTTTTTTTAAGGAGTTTTTCCAAGTCTTCAAGCCAGAGTTACTCTATTCTTTTTTTATGTTCCCCTAGCACTTTGTTCCTATTGCTGTTGCTAACTTACACCGTGTTATCATAGTTAATTGTTTATTCCTCTCTCTCCCATTTTAAATTATATGCTTTCTTAAAATGGAGGTGTCTTATTTCTCATTGTTCCCCTGAGGCCTACCAAAGTCCATAACTTAACTAGTCGTTCAATAAATGTCTTGAGAAATTGTTAAATATTGATTCAGTGGATAAAGGGTTATGAGTTTAATGATGCTCTGTTGAATGAATCTTTGTGACATTCCTGGTATCTTTTTCTAGAATATGATGGGGATATAAAAATATTAGTGTAATGTATTCCATAGTAATCACCACAAATTTATCAAAATCATGGATTCAAAAGGGTGTTTAAAAACCATTTAGTTTCAGCAACTAGCCAGTACTGAGGTCCTTTTCCACATTTCTGAAGTATGGACATTTAACTTTTTCTTGACCTCTTCCTTAGACCCATTCTTGAGACAGCCCATTCTGTGTTGGCTTTCTCACAGGAAGAGAACTTTTCCTTGCGTTGAGCTTCAGTATGATTCCTTGTAACTTTTCCCTTCGGTCTTATTGGTTTCAGTTCTGCTTTTGGGGAGAACAGAAAACAAATTTAAACTGCATTCTCCATTGTCAGTTCTTCATATGGGAACAGTATTGAGGTTTCTGCTATATATTCTATTTTATAAGCTGAATGGCCCCTCAAAACACTGTGTGTATGTGTGTGTGTGGCCAGAAAACCATTGGAAATAATTTTAATTGGAAATAAGATAACTTGCATAGATAGAGATAGAGACAGCAAAAGAAAAATAGAGAGATTATCATAAAAACAATTCACATTCTGGCCAGTATATGTTTATATATATAATTTCAGATAAATAAATAAAAGATGCTGGATTATTGTCATAAACTTCCAGATTTTAGACTCTAGAATGATCTCATTTTTTTTTCCTGATTTTCTTATTGCTATGCAAGAGATTATCCCAGAGTTTATTGGCCTAAAGCAGCAATATATTCATAATGTCTCATAGTTTTGTGGGTTGACTGGGCTTAGCTGGGAGCTCCCCACATGGGGTCTCTCATGTAGTTGACGTCAGGTGGTGGTTGGAGGTGGAGTCCTCTCAAAGGCCAGATGAAGTGGATGTCCAGTATGGTTTCTTTGGTCACATGTCTGATGCCTGATTGCTCCTCAACATGGCAGAGTAGCCTTCACTTATTATATGGCAGTTGAAGGCTCCAAGAGGTGGAAAACAGAAGATTCGAGGCCAGTGAAGGGCTACTCATAGAAATGGTATGGTATCTCTTCTACCATCTCCTCTTGGTCCAAGGAGTCATGGGATCCACTCAGATTCCAGGAGGTAAAGTGATAGCTTTATCTCATGATGGGTGGGATGTCAGAGTCACATAGAAGAGCGTGCTGGATGGGAGATGTTGTGATCATCTTTGGAAAATACAACCTGCCACATCATGTATTTGGATGGTGTGGTGGAGTGAAAGATGCATTCTCGATAAATTTTAACTAATTTTCAAAAGAAGTGAATACAAATTTATACACTGAAGCAATGACATAAACATGAAGGAAGCATAAATATTGACCATAAAACATACAAAATAAAACTAACAATCGCTAACTAAAGTTCATCATATATTCACACCGTATTTCTGATTGGATCTCATGATCTAAAAGACCTCAGTTCTAAATTTAGATTCAATATTTTTTCAATATTTTATTTATTTCTGAGAGAGAGAGAGAGAGTGTGTGAACAGGGGAGGGTCAGAGAGAGAGACACAGAATCTGAAGCAGGCTCCAGGCTCTGAGCTGTCAGCACAGAGCCCGACGTGGGTCTCGAACCCACGAACCATGAGATCATGACCTGAGCCGAAGTCAGACACTTAACCAACTGAGCCACCCAGGGGCCCCTAAATTTAGATTTAAAGATGTTTAAAAGACTGTTTGGTTTAAAAAAAATAGTATCTAAACAATTTTTAGTTTCTGAAAATTCATTTTTAATGTGTAATATAATCTCTTTTTACTATTAACACTATTTCATTGTTTGGAATTTAATTATAAAAACTCTCATACAATAAAATATGAACTATTAAATATTTCCTTTTATGAAATATAAATGTCTCTATTCGAGTCATTCTTAATGTATGCAAATTTCCTAAATGTTAATTCTTTCCATTTCTCTTTTCTGTACTCCTTTAAATTCTTCTTCATTTTAAGTATGATTTTGCATATGAATCTTAATATTTGATAATACTGGTCAAATAACCATTAAATCCATCACAGAGAAACATTTTCTTTATTTGTACCTGAAAATTCTTAGATGATATGTTTCACTTAGAAATTGTAGTCAGTGTATCACCCAAATAGCCCAAAGAAATTAGTGATTTATTTTTCCTCACAACATATGAAATCTTAATATTGTAGCCCAAGCATGATAAGGTGGCTCTATCATGTTACCACGGTGCTTGGATCCTTGTAGCCATCCTAGGATTCATGCACTCAAAACAGCTGTCATGTTGTTAGAACAATTCTATCTACATTTTAGACAAAAGCCAAAGGGCATAGAAGTGCACATAGTAACCAAGGAAGGAGACAATAGATATTGGCGAGACACCTGGCAAGTGCAGCCTCATCACATTTAAAAGTATGTTTTACTAACTTTCTGATGGTTACATCCTACTCTGCCCCAGTTTTGTCTATGCTGGTCTGCAGCTCTTTTAATGCTCAAGTTTTGTCTGATTTATAGCTGTGCATTTGGTTCTTATATATGTACCTTGTGACTTTTGTTCCCTCTTGAGTTTTTGTAAACGAGTATTCTTTCTTTTTGGATTAGAAGATGACATATAGTTTTGCAGAAGATTTGCAACATTAAGAAAAGAATAAAAGATTAATACTACTTATATTTTACCACCATCCAGAGATAATGATTAACATTTTGCTGTAGAGTCCTTCAATCTTTCTGAATTTTACATATGCATATGTAAAGATATATATTTCTAATTATGCAATTGCTACTTTATACCTATTACTTGGAAAGTATATTGTTTTAAATATAGTAAAGATTTCTGCATATAAATAAATATTATTTGAGACATGAGTTTTGAGACTATGTAGCATTCTATTATCTGCACAAACCACAACTTATGTAGTTGACATCTAATTGTTAGACACTCTGGTTGCTTTTAAAAATTTACAATAAAAAATATTATAAATTGCACTGATTAAATTCTCCAAACATCGATCTTTGTCTGTATCTCTAATTGATTTAGAATATCTTCACGCAAGTAGAATGGATCAAAGGATATGTAAAGGAAAAGGTAACATTTCTGCAGAAACTAGAAAATACTAAAGTGAAGGGTATAAAATATGCCATGCTTTACTGCCTGTTTGCTGAGAGTGGGGTGGAGTGAGTTAAACAAAACTGTTTTAGCTTTCAACTCATAGGATAAAAGATCCAAATGTTCTCATCTCTATGTAGACAGGAGCAGGTGATGAAGGGGGAGGTGTTCAAAGTTTTGTGCATGGAGAAACAGGTAAATGTTTGGAAAAGGCACTTCGCCAGTTCCCTGAATACTCAAAAGAAAAAAAGGAAAAGAAATTAAATGAAGGGAACAAAGAATTGACTGAGAGCCCACTTGATTTGGGAAATAGGTTTTGACTTTTCCCAAACTGGGCAAATAGAGAAGAGGGATAAACATTTTTTGCTTAGGGAATGCTACAGTGCTCATACCGTACAGTGTAGACACACTGTCAGAAATCAAGGAGCAAAGTTCCCAGGAACTTGGTTAAGGCATTACCTATGCCTTTTACCATGGAGTATAGACTGGATGTGGAATTATATGCTCATATAAATTGGTTAATGGTCTTCAGGAGAATTACATGCAAATAATATACAATATCCAGGAGCTTCTTATTTGTCATACGTTTCATGGTTGAAATTATCATGGGATGATTATTAAGTTGTATTTACAATAGAAATTGTGCAAGGGAGTTAGCTTAGGGGTATGAAGGTCACACGAAAGTGTGGAGGGTGGGGCATGAGCAGGGGAGGGAGAGAGAGAAACAGACAGGGAGGGAGCTAAAGGGAGAGAAGGAGAACATACTAGCGATGACTTTAGGAGTTGTAGATTAATCACTATGCTTTGATATCTAGGAAAATAGAGGGATAAATAAAAAAGACAGTTGATTTTCACATATCTCAAAAGAGCAAAACAAATGGGAATAACAACCAACATGATTTTGAGAGAAGTAAATCACTCTGATTTAATCTAATTTTACTCCCTGACACAGTGACAAGCTTTAAATATGAGAGGAAGCAAGAGTTCATCTCTCTTCACTTCAGTTTGGTTTTTGTCTCACATGGCATGTAAAGGAAGGCATAACTTGTGAATCAGTGGATCTGTGACCTTCCAGGGCAGACCAGTGAAGACTTCAGAAGGTTGATGGGTGCTTATGTTGAATGAAATTGGTGTTAACCTCCAGAATTAAATATAAAAGAATGCAAAATACGGAATCTACAGACTAGAAAGTTACTAAATCTGTAGGAGATCTATCTGCAAGAATACAAAGTGAATATAGGAAGAAAAAAGGGTGGCTGCATTAAATTGAAAATTGTTACAAGCCACCAATTAAAATGACACATTAAAAAAAGTTCTATCTAGTTTAATAAATGTAAATGGTAATAGCTCCTGTAAATAAAACGACAGTATGCAGGCATTCTGACACATTGCTGCTACAATTAGAAATGAGACATAGAAGAGCTGCTTGGATTATTTAGGGGAACCTGCAGTGATTCCTGACTTCACCTGTACCATTTTGTCACATGATAACAATCAATCCAGTTACAAGACTGTAATGCATGTTTATCTTTTGTAATTATTTTCCTTCCTTAAATCCTATAAAGTACTTGACTGTTACTGGTAAGAGAATGAGGAATTGTGTTAATTCCTCCAAAAATAAATAAATATTTTGCTTAAACTTCTGTTTCCATTTTTTTCATATAAACGTTTTTTTCCAAGGCAAATTTATGGGAATTTCTTTGAAGACATTTTAAAAGGTAGTTCAACTCAACATATATAATACCAAGAATGCATAGAAATCAATTCAAGACATGATAATATGAAGAACTAGGGCCTAATCAAGTAATAAACAGGCAACAAATACTGTATCATGACCACCCCTGGCTGCAGTGATTGTAAAATATAACCCGAGTGTGGAGTTCAAATATGAAAATTGTACACATCCCTATTAATAAATTATGTCAGGTATTATTAATATAATTAAATTAATATATTAATGTTATATTATTTAACTTACTATATTAACATTAATATAATAAAATATTATCAAGTCTTAACAACCTCATGCTGTTTGACTTAACAATTCCCCCTCTGGATATTTTAGCCTCGGAAAATAATTATGCTCTGCCAGAAGATATATACAATAGGATACAACAATGTTTTTATTTTCAATATTTTTGGTAACAGATGCTTGATAACTTATATATGAAAAAATACAAAATAAATAATGGCATGCATGAGCCATCCATCAGGGAAATAGTTTTGCATTGTAATGATAAAAAACATGATTTTGCTACAGAAGCAAATTCACAATTAAGTAAAAAAGAGAAATTAATTATAAAATAATATATATAATTCTTTAAATAATAGTCTGAAAATAAATACAGAATAATTAACATAAAATATATTGTTTAAGGAATTAAGGGTGATTGTATTTTTAAATTTTATTCTGAATTTATAAAAAAGGACTTGATAATTTTTTATTTAGCAGAACAGCTATATAAGGAATAACCACGTATACTGATTACCTTTAATGACTATCTGATAATCCTTTTCTTTGTTTTTTTCCCTTTAATTGTTGATGACCTTTTCTGTTAATAAAATTTCATTATTGAACTTAACATTTGTTGGATATAATATTGTCTGTACTGTTTATATAAAAACTCAAAGCTGGAGTTCCACATTTATGTTCATTCTCCTATATTTTATGTATTTCATATGCAAATGCAAATATATAAATTATAAATAAACAAAACTTTAATGTAAATATAGGAATATTTAACATATAAATTATATATAAAAATAAAATATGTAAATTGCAGAGGGATGTATATATAGAGAGATACAATGAATTTTTGTTACTTTAGTCATCCAAAAAACTGGCCCATGATTCCGTTTCTTTTTTAACTTCTTAATTTTTTTCTTGATCTGAAAACATGTCATTGATTTATCTGTTTGACCATTTTTTTGTGATCTCAAAATATCTTAACGTAAAACATTTCTTTACTTCTACCATTTTTCTCTATTTTTAAATTTTGATATACTTTCAAACTTATAGAAAATTTGCAATTATTGTACCTAAGACCCTAAATACTCTTTGTCCAGATCCATTAATTGTTTACATTTTATACCTTTTTCCTTATTATTACTGCTTGTTTTGTCTCCATATATGTTTGTGTACATATATATGTATAGTATAATTACATATACATGTATATATATATTTTCCCTGAATCATTTGAGAATAAGTTGCAGACATCATACTTCTCTATTTAAAGTATTTTCATGTGTATTTCTCAAGACTGAGAACACTGTCTTCTACAACCACAAAAGAATTATGAGAAGTAAGAAATTTATTACCAATGAAATATTGTTATGTAACAGTGCATCTAGGATCATATATGCATTTAATTGTCATGCCTTTTATCTTTTAACCTGGAACAAATTCTCAGTCTTTAATGACTTTGAATGTGAAGATATCTTCAGACTTTCCTCAATGTGAGTTTGCCCGATATTCCCTAATGATCGACTCAGATGATGTACCACAGAAGTGATGTTGTATCCTAAAAAGTGTGCCATATGTGGAGGCACATCATGTGTATTTGTTCCATTATTGATGTTGTCTTTGATTGTTACCATGGTCTCTGTCAAGTTTTTGCATTGAAAATTATTTTTCTCTTTTTTTAAAAAGTTTATTTATTTTGAGAGAGAGAGAGAGAGAGAGCAAGCAGTGGAGGGGCAGAGAGGGGGGTGGATTGAGAGAGAATCCCAAGCAGGTTTCATGCTGTCAGCCCGGAGCCCAATGAGGGGGCTGAACCCACAAACTGAGATAATGACCTGAGCTGAAATTAAGAGTTGGACACTTAATCAGTAGGTGCCCCTGAAAGTTGTTATTTTCCCCATTGTAGTTAATAACTGATTTGTGAGAAGATGATATAAGACTATGGAAATATCTTGCTCAACATCATACTTTTACCCACAAATGCTGATCCACAAGTGTTTTGTTGACTGCATCAGTTAACTATCATGTTTACTTAATGGTGATTTTCTAACTCCATCAATACATCTACATTTTGTTAGGTGGCATTCCATGCAAAGGAAGAGGTTTTTCTTCTTCCTTATATAATTTATTCATTTCTTTCATTTATATTTTCTGTAATGAATATTTTTCATTATGATAATTATTTATTTCAACTTTCCACGTGTCCCAGATATGACTAGTAAGAACTTCTTGAAGCTGGGGCCTATATCTTTTTGACATACCCCATCATTTTTAAATGACTTACTCCTCCCCCCAGAAGAAAATGCTGTCACCTTGAAATTTATATACTTATTTCTCTTCCCTGTGTACATGTTCTAAAATGCCTGGATAGTTTTTACACATTTTTATAGTTTCAGTAGACTTTCTGTATGTGAGTTTTGTGTCAGTTTTAGGACCTTTGCTTTCCTCTTCTTCACTATTTTTCTGGACATATTAGATTTCTGTAATACATATAGTGGGAGTTTGAAAGGTAACTCTATTAGATCGGTGTTTAATTTTCTATTTACAGATAATTTGACATTTTTATTACTTTCAAACTTCCAGTT